TTAGGTAAGTTACTGTTTTCTGTTTTTGAGAAAAGCTTATTAGAAGTTTATAAATAAGTGTTTTGTGTAAGGTTTTATGTGTACTCAGAGAAAAGTATAAAGACAAAGTGCCTTCTTTAGAGAGAGAGAGAGAGAAAATTGAGGAGAGAAATAGACAATAGTGTAAGGGGTTTTGAGTAGAGAGAAAAAGTGAGAAAGTTTGTTGAGTGTGTAATTTTAAAACTGTTAGTCAATTTGTTTCTTTCTTATGTGGACGTAAAAAAATTTCCTGAATCACTTAAATATTTATTTTCTCTATTTTTTGTTATTTTTATTTCAATTTATTTTTTTTTCTGCGTGAGTATATAGTGTGTTTTTTTGCTGGCAGCATGAAATTACAAAGAATCTTTAGCATCCCATGTGTGTTCGATATAGCGGTGTGAAATGGAAGATTTTTATGCTAATAAAAGCACGAGGTCGACTTGGTCCATGGACCTTTAAGAATTTTCAACTCTTCATCGTACAGACAATAAATGCTGACTCAAAAGTACAGCTATTTTTGTGTTCGATTTTCCTCTCAGCATTTGGAATTATTTAAGTGCAACTTTCTATATTTGTAACATTTTATAGATATAGATATTGATCCAACGATTCTAGAGGCTGCTCTTATTTATTTATTTCCTACTGAAGACCTAATAGTTAGGTTTTCTTGATGGCCAAGTACCCATCTTTCTCTAAGAAAGTTGTTGTTTGCGTTCTAATTTATTGCTTTTATGAAGTTTCGTGGTGTTTTGTTGGTTTGGTTACTTCTGAGAAATTCAGTGGAAACAACAAAAACATCTATTTAAATAAAACAAGGAAAAGTGTGGAAACTATAAAAAAAAAAAAAAAAAAAAGAGTAGGACTTCCCCCCTTCTAGTAAATGTCAACAAGCATTGTCATCACCTAACAATGTTGTTAAGTTAAAGATTATCATCTGCGGAAAGGAGGCTCCCTTTTCTAAATTGCTTTTGATAAAACGATAGAACATTTCAAAATTTCGATTTTTTATTCGATATACCTAATACCCTCATAAAGGTCAAGATGATAAATCATATAATTGTATAGAAATATGAAAATTCTCCTTATCTCATAATGTAGAATACAAGTACTTAAAGATTAAATCTCTTTAGAAAATCTTCAAATTATAAAAAATAAATTTCAGCAGATTTCGCCATGAAATTTTTTTTTTTTTCCCCCTTTTAAACAACATGGTTCGTTTCTCCAACTTTTTAATTAATTCCATCTAGTACGTAGTACTTTTCCTATCTTCAAACAGCCTGACATCCCATTTTCCAGTCTGATCTCTCCAACCCTTTTCTTTCCATTTTTACGTTACCAAACAGCCTAGCTCCCATATTTTCCACGTTAGTGAATCTGAAATTTTTCTTCCCCTCATCAATGCGTGGAATATTACATATATATATATATATATATATATATATATATATATATAGCTACTGGCTAGACTTACAAAACAAGAATTGTAGAAGCAGTACTTCTTAAAAGGTACATATTCCTACCATCCCCAGCATGCAGAAGCGTCAATATCTCAAAACTTCTCTTCCACTCTGTAGAAAATAGTGGAATCTTTTCCCGATTAAAGAATCAAAAAAACTTGATACGACAAAGCCACACATAGATATATTTATACAAGTACATACATAGATATAGTATTGCAACATGTCTAATTTTCACAAAGACTTCCAACTCAATGGGATTGACAACTTGCTCTGAGATTTTCCTGCTATCAAACAAACTCTAGCTAACGTACTTTCTATTACAAGCGTCCATTTTCCACTGTGTATCTTTCGCATGCATGTATACATAAGAATTAATATAAATATATATATATATATATATGTAGTCATTTTGAAATTATTCCAAATTCAGAAGTGCTAGTAAATTTCTTTAAGCTTCTTCCGGACTTTTGCTTAGCGGTTTCCTATGTTGTCATGCACTATTTTTAGTCTAAGGGGAGCCCATAGTATTTATGACATATCTCCGAATTTCAGCTTAAATAGTACTAGAAAATCATCGAGGAAAAAAAAATAAAGAATAAAGAAAACAGAGAAACTCATGAGTTTTTCTTGTCCTGTCGGTTATTTGGTCAGACCTAACAAGATACTTATCTATCTTCCGGTGGCGTATAACTATACATGTTTGTGTGTCTAATTGTATATGTTTTCAGAAACCTTTCTCACTCATATTTTTTTATTATATTACTTTTTATAATAATAAGTATTTTTGACCTTTTTATCTAAATAAGTTTAAAAATACTTTTTAGACATAAAAACACTGTTTCAAACACTAATTAGGGTCCGTTTGAATTAGCTTTAAAAAACTGCTTTTAGCTTATTTAGTCCGAAAGCCGCTTTTGAACCTGTTTGGATGGATAACTTTAAAGTACTTTGGGCTATTTTAAACACTTATAGAACAAGCCATTTCCTTAATGCTTACGAAAAAAGTGCTTATAAAAAGCTTTTTTATTTACATTTTTAACTTTTTATTTGTGAATAACAAATTAAATATTCTACTCATATCCTTTTATTACATTACTTTTTATAACAATAAGTGTTTTTGACTTTTTTATCCAAACTTATTCAAAAGCTATTCTTAGATATAAAAATACTTTTTCAGGCACTATTCAAATACTAATTAAAAAGTCTCTACTTATGCTTATCTTCTTCCACTACTTAAAATCACAAGCACAAGCTATCCCAAACGAGCCCGGTTTGACATTATTGTGTTGTTAAAAATTTTTGTTGTTGCTACGTCAGAAGTTGTTGTTACCAGAAGCATGTAGGTGCTTATTTTTATTAATTAAAATATTTTTTAAAAAATAATTACTTTTATTCAAGGAGAAAAATTATTCATCCACTAAATTTCTTATTATTGATGTTATTTTTAAACATTTTGATAATTATTAAAAATATTGGAATAACTTTAGCATTATATGCTTATTAAAGATTTTCAAATTTTTGAATAACTATTTAAAAACGAGATATATTTTTTAGTTTGGTATGAAAAAAATAAAATTAATAGAATGTTATTAAAGTCATTTTAGAAAATTTGGACAATAACACCAATAAAAATGGGATTTATACCAAACAGATTAATCTGTTGTAACTTCTTAAAAGAAATTAAAAACACAGCTTCTAAAAGCATATATGTATGTGATACGAATTAAGAAATCATTATTTTCTTAGACTAATAAAAACTTTATAGTACTTCATATATGAAGCAAGGATCATGGAGCGAATCTAATGTAGTTTTTGGCTCTTGAACTCGATTAAGGCGTAGGATTAAAAAGAAATGGCCTTCTCTTAGCCGATTGCCATGTGTCAAACACTTTATATACCATAGCACTTATCAAATCTGAAGACGTCTTTTGTTAATTTTGTGTACGCATAGTATAATAATAGTCTAATAAATCAAATTAGTCAACGTATTAAAAAATAGATATGATTTAATCAAATCCTATATATGCGATCATTATAAAACTATGGTCAATATTGATGTCATCATGTTATTTATCGATGGGAACAGGAACGAGAATTTAAATCATGGACTTGTATACTTCGCGACCAAGCTATACGAAATTAGGTGAAATGGACTTTCTGAGTATGTTCCACCACGAATTTTTTTAGAAATATATTAAAATGCCAATTTAAGGATGGCGGTTTTTTACTTTACACTTCACATAGTAAAATCAGTCAACGTAATTTTATTAACCAACAGAGGTAAACACATGAGGAATAAATTTTTAACTTGGTTGGGACACAACAAAGTTTGGAAAATGATTAACATACGAGTTCGTCGAAACTTAACCGAACATTCACATGTCACAAAATACATGCATATATTTAGTAAGATTCCTTGACCAAGAAACATGTGTGCAATAACGTACAAAGACCATGATATATTATTATCCCCATGGGAACAGAACCAGCGCTTTCAAACCAGTCTTATGCTAATTGATTTATATCAAAATACGTAAACTGATATAAAATAGAAAAAAAAAAAAAAGAAGAAATTATTAACATTAATTACTGATGATTTTTATTAAAAGAAAAAGAAAATTACATCAGAAAAGAGAAAAAAAAAAACAAAATCAAGTCCTGAACCTATATCTTGTAAATCCAAAAATATCTAAACCAAACTCTCTGATGATTCAGTAATTAATGTTAATCACTGAAATATTATCAAAGCTACTAAAAAAACAGAGGTAGCTTTTACAGGTAACCACCTTTTTTTTTCATTACACCAGAAATTACATGTTGTTAATGTAGATGTAGATCTTCTGTCTCATTAATTAGCACGCAATTCAGATTATAATGAATATAGACATGCAACTTAAACTGATTTTTTAGTGTAACACATCAAATATATATCTTTTGCTCGCTTAACCTATTAAAGTTACAACATAACATTTTTGCATTACTTTAACACGTCATGCTTGCACAAACCTTACTGAACATAACATTTATTGATTGATGATACAACAAATAAAGAAGAAAATTATGGTTTTTGAAACTCACATTAAAGTAGAAACCCGAATTATAAAAATTTATACTCAACCTTATATGTGCTTTACCAACTGTTTTTTTTTTCTTTTACACTAATTTATAAACTAATTATTTTGAAACTCGTACACTTTAGCATATACGAATAATATGGAAATGACATAATCAAGTATAGGGTACTAGACAATCATAAGGAAGAAAAATAAACCATGACTAATACTACTAAACCTGACCAACATCACTTAATTAAAAAAGTCACAGAGAAAAATTCAATATTGTACATTAACTAAGGTAAATCTAAAGCTATAAAAAAAAAAAAAAAAAAAAAAAAGAGAAAACAAAAAAAAAAAAAAAAAAAAAAAAAAAAAAAAAAGTCGTCCCTCCCTCTCATCAGCTATAAATAGGGGCACTCGATCAGCTCTAGCCTTCACAGAAAGCCTTGATAAGTCCATTTTGCTAGCTAAGCCATCTTATATTGCATTTGTGAGCTAACATGGCTGCAAGTTACAAGCAAAACCAGCTTAAGATAGTGTCCAAAGTAGGGATAATCGGGGCCGGTATTAGCGGAATTGCGGCCGCTAAACAGCTTTTGAGTCACAACCCTGTGGTCTTTGAGGCCACGGATTCGATCGGAGGTGTTTGGAAACACTGCTCCTACAATTCCACCAAACTCCAAACCCCTCGATGCGATTTCGAGTTCTCCGATTATCCATGGCCGGACAGGGAAAATTCAAGCTTCCCTTCTCACCTTGAGGTCTTGGATTACCTGTACGGCTATGCCAAACACTTTGATGTGTTGAAACACATTAAGTTCAACTCTAAGGTTGTCGAAATTCGGTACGTTGGTCATGAACATTCTCAAAATATGTTGGAAGTTGATCATGTGAAGGACTTGAAGCCATACGGAGATCAGAACTATGGGCATCTATTGCAAGGCCGTCCTGTTTGGGAGGTTGCTGTTCATCACACATCCGACCAATCCGATACTGTTCAGGTTGTCCTCGTTTTTCACTTGATTCTTACACAATTTATTAGCGTACGTTTATATATATATATATATATATATATATATTTTTTTTTTCTTTGTACCATTTAGACTTTGATTGTACTGCATGCATAAGTATCACTTATTTTCTGCTCACAACACGACGATTTTAAGTACTTACAGGGGGGGGGGGGGGGGTGGGGGGGAATTGAAGAAGAAGAAAGAGACTACTACAAGTCCTAGCAATAGATTTTTCACAATCTTATGGCATACGCGAATGCAATAATTAAATTTACTATTCATGTAAGCGTTTTTTTAGCTAGCGTGGACTTTGAAAAATGCTAGGGCTAAACTTACACCTGATATTGTATTTATATTCACGGTTGCGTGATGTTAAATTACTTGTAGAAGGCCACGCATGACCATCATAACAGAACGGCAGAGGTAGCTTGTTGTACCAGTCAAATCATTGTGCATGTTTAATTCTCTGGGGCTCGTTTTGCTAGTTCGAATCACAATTTAAGTTTTTACTGAAGTGTTTTCTCTCACAAAAATTTAAATTCAAATTTTTCTACGGTAGTGTTTTTCTCTCACATGAATTCACTTTTTAACTCAAGTTCTTAACTCAGATCAGCGAAAGGGCCTAAATTTCTCTGAAAAAAAGTCTTTTTTTTTTAAGCTAGTTGACTTGCATAAATGTTATAATGTTCCAACATTCAAAGGACAAAATGACAAGCTTTTGGGTAACTTATGTTATTTGTTTGTAAAGCTATTATATATAGTTTTGACTAGTTTTTGGACAAAATTACAGTGGTATGCATTTGAGCTTCTGGTAGTATGTATTGGTAAATACGGAGACATCCCAAGAACACTGCCAACTTATAACTCTTCCAATAGTAATATTGGACGTGAAGTATTTTGCGGAAAGGTTTTGCATGCCATGGATTACTCTAAGCTCGATAAAGAAGCTGCTCGTTTGCTGCTAAAAGGAAAGAAGGTCGCAATCGTTGGCTACAAGAAATCAGCCATCGATTTAGCTATGGAGTGTGCAGAGGCAAACCAAGGTACGTGTAATAATAACAGTAATTGTAGTAAACAAAAAATATATATATATATATATATTTAAACAGCTTTTTTAAGTAAATAGCATATTTTTAAAATGATTAAAGTAAATAGCATATTATATGTATTATGACACGTACAGAAGTATAGAAATATACCATACCTAAGGCACTGGCTTCTATAGGGGACGCTGAAAAAATATAGTCATGTTAATTAATGCAAGTCATGATAGAATATGAAGCTTTGTCACAGTCAAAATGGTTGAACTAGTTGACAAATTAGATTCTTTGACTCCACGGCAAGAACTTTAATTTTTCTGTGTGATAGAAGTCAACAAGAATAAGTTTTGATTAAGCAGTGCAATACTGGTGCGACCGGCAATATGATATATGTAGCTTTAATATAATGAGGCTCTATCTTCTAACCAAGACACATTTATTGCTGGAAGAAAACTGCATCTTTCGAAATCTCCTAGTTACGCCACGAAAGGAAAAATGTTAAGCTTTGTCTTTTATATTTGATCAGATTTTTTATATGACTTCAGGTAGAGCCAAGTAAAATTATAAAAAAAAATAAAAAAAAAATAAAAAAAAAAAGTGAAAATAAAAGTGTGAATAGAATTTTACTTAAGGGTGCAAATAAATTCTCAGTAACTAATATTTACCATGCGAGGGGAAAAGTAAAATTTAGAGAGACGGTAAAACAATGAGATGAACATTATTGTTTCCTTTTTTAAAATAAAAAAATAATAATAACATATTTGGTATTCGAATAATGCAATTTGTGTGCCCAATATAGTCTTTGTTTGAATCTTGGTCTCCATGTCTAGAAATTAGAAAATATGGTTGAGGAAATGGCTTGTTGACATTTTTTTATACGTCCCTTTCTCTAATTTCTCCTTTAAAATTATTATTGTTTCAAATTTCTTTTTTCTTTTTGGCTGGTTTGAATAATTAGGACCTGACGGGCAACCATGCACAATGGTGATAAGGACTCTTCATTGGACCGTTCCATCATATTGGATATGGGGATTGCCGTTTTTCTTGTTTTATTCAACAAGGTCTTCTCAATTTCTCCACGAAAGGCCAAACCAAAGCTTGTTCGGAGCACTTTTGTGCCTGCTTTTTTCTCCCTTGGTAAAATTCCATTTTTTCCTTTCTTAATCACTCATAAACTATTCTACTAATTAATTGACCACTTTAATAGCATTTTATTACATTAATTAAACACGTGAATTAAGCTAATTTCACAGATTTATATATTTGGTTTTGTATCAGAGGAGGGCAATTTCCAAGTTCATAGAGTTATACTTGGTGTGGAAACATCCACTAATGAAGTATGGACTAAAGCCAGATCATCCCTTTGAGGAGGACTATGCTTCATGCCAAATGGCAATATTGCCTGAGAATTTCTTTCGTGAGGCAGACAAGGGGAAAATAATGTTCAAAAGGACATCAAAATGGTGGTTTTGGAGTGGAGGAATTGAATTTGAAGACCACACAAAACTAGAAGCTGATATTGTGCTTCTTTGTACTGGTTATGATGGGAAAAAGAAGCTTCAAAATTTACTGCCTCGGCCGTTTAGTAGTCTCGTTGTGGACTCTACAGGAGTCATGCCCTTGTACAGGTAATTTCTTTCATGATTAGAAGTAAAAATATGAGTTAACTTTATATATATATATATATATATATATTGATCATTAAGCCAATGCTATAATATTGGTAAATCATAGTTAATTAATTAAATTAATGCAAGTGGGTGTGGAGTTAATGAAATTTCCATGTCATGCTCATGACTATGGTATATAAATGTAACATAATTAATTTAGGTTCCACTAGGGACGAAAAGGAAATTACGGTAAAAAGGAAAAAGAAGAGAGTTGTTATACAATTATATTCAACATCAAGGGTAGAAAGAATTTAATGGAAATAGAAAAGACAGAACATCCAGTTAATAATTTGCAAACAAGAATTCAAATTCCATCACCACTTGCATTGCAACCAGACACTATTCAATCATGGTATAAAAGTTTAGCGTGGGCCCCATCTATGAGTCCCATATTGCGATACTACCTTTAATTAATTAGTGATTAAAACAATCTTATTCAACACTAACGGTGTTTAACAACACCTATTAATAAAACGCGTCACGTACGATTAGTGATAGTACTTAATACCGTTGTCTTAAAACATTTTTCTAATTAATAACGCTTAATGAAAGAGATCTTTTCACGTGGTGTTGTCAGGGGCACTATTCACCCATTGATTCCCAACATGGCATTTGTGGGTTACATAGAGAGCGTCTCCAACCTTCACACGGCAGAGCTGCGCTGCAAATGGCTGGCAAGGCTTGCCGACGACAAGTTCAAGCTTCCAAGTGTCGAAAAAATGCTTCAACAAATAACCAAGGAATTTCAGATTATGAAGAGGACGACCAGGTTCTACAAGAGACATTGCATTTCCACTTTCAGTATCAACCACAGCGATGAGATATGCCGTGAGATGGGATGGGCTTCTTGGAGAAAGACTAACTGGTTTCTAGAAGCTTTTAGCCCTTATAGCAGCCAAGACTACCGTGAAAAGGAGATCAAATAAATCGACGATTTATATTTAATTATCCTTTGACATGGCTTAAAAGCTGTCACTATTAATCAATGAATATTAATAAATAATAATTAGGGGGCTTAATCTTCCCCTATATTATCTATAGTCTATACATACCAGTGCTTCTACTTAGTTGTTTGATTAATTAATTAATAAAAAATAATAATGCTTATATTTCTATATTATGGATTTGAACAAGTAGAACTTTAGAATGTTATATTTGACATTACCTCAAATATCATGCAATTCAGTCAACACAAGTAATTTAGACCCTTGAATTTAGGTATTTTGTGCAGTTGCTCAGTGTATTATTATTATTATTATTATTATTATTATTATTATACGCCTGTATTTATACCTTTGTGTTTAATTTGTCGTACAAAACCTGTAAATTGGAAAATGATCCCTTTGTTTTAATACAAAGACAAACATACAGTAAGCAGTACCCGGTCGGGTCAAATCTAAATCTTGGCTCAGAGATACCAATTGTCTCAAATTTATTGTTATAATAATACAATTTGATATATATCCGCTAGTGCCCAAAAGAAATATACAACTTGATATAATCCAAACCATTTTTCACACATTTGTTGCCTGCCAATATAACTGTGGGGTGGAGCATCCAAACCGCCAAAGGACATATCCAAAATTGCCAACTATATACGGAAGCTCTTAAATCCACAATCAGGATAAGCTACATAAAAATTGAAACTTCATTCTAGAATAATGAACATGACAAGATATATATATATATATATATAAATATATATATTTATTTATTTATATCTTTTGCTATAAATTACAAAGGGTTTGAAATCAATAATGGTACCTTTTCTATCCCTTTTTTTCATTCTTTTTTTTTTCCCTAATAAGATAAGCTACATAAAAATTGAAACTTCATAATAAGGCTTGCAAGTATTCTAAGTAATAGCTGAAATTCTAAACAATGACAGTATAATATATTAATATTACATCAAAAATAATTGAACATATGAAGGTGAGAAAGGAGGCAAAAAATGGCCTGCCTTTGGTACATTATTTCCCTCTATGGCCTGCCTTCTTTAACATCTTTGCAAGCCTTATTATGATCTCAAGATAAAGACAAAATGCTTTTCCAAAACCAGCCCCAAAAAATAGTAAAAGGAGAGCCAAAGATTTGATTCAACGAAAAAATAAAAAAGAATCATCAAATTCTTGTGAGGCTCAAGCTAGCCAGTCCCCATCCATACCTTCAATTTCTCCAATGTCCATGCTGTGCGTCCCAAAATCACAAGTAAAAATGAATTAGCAAAGTCATATATAAAGTGTCTAGCATCATTATCTAAAATCCTCTAAAGTAAAATGAAAAAAAAAAAAATACCCCTCCGGTAGGATCAGATAAATTTAATGAAAATTCGATTTCAGATATTTCTAATTTACCAATAGAATTCTTTAGAAAAGTACACAATTGTATTCAAAATGAAATGAACATTCTTGGGTGGTTAGTCAAACTAAATTGCTACAAGGTACCATGGCAATCTGACACAGTGACGAAAGCAAGAACCGTAGACGCCTACAATTTCTGTTTTATCCAATTCCTTCTGTGCCTAGTTCTTACAACTTCCATAGCTCTCAAAAAGTTGAGGAAAATATTCTAGTTGAAACTAAAATTGCCCTCAATTGTTCTTACTCTAATTAGAGATAACATTTATGGGTATGTTTATATACTTGTGGCTAATGACTTCAAGACACCGTAATGCACGGGCCAAAATAAGTGAGGATTAATTGCTTATTTTAAAGAAAACGACAAAAGAAAAGTGCATTAATTAAAGAATGAAATGACTAGGAAAAACTTAAAACCCCCTAATCCCTTTACATTGAAACTTTTCATATGGCACAAAAAGGGGAAAGGAAACAGAAAACATCCACAAATTCTTTATTTGTCTTTTTAGTGTTTTTTATAAGGTTAAATCTAAAATCCAATTAGATATATATTCTTACCAAGGCAAGGCAGGAGACTGGAAGTAGTCGTCAGAGCAGTAGTAATCATCAAAATGCTGCTGCTCATTGGCACTCAACCAGGCAGGAAACTCCATGAATTGATCATCAAACGGATATTTGAATCCATTAATCCCATCACCATCATCATCATGATGATCTCCTTCAGCCTTCAAAAACTTCAACCAATAAGCCGATGTCACCAAATTCATGGTGTCATTCCACTCCATCTGATGCTGCTCTCCTATTGATCTGATCTCCGCCATCTCCTCGTCGTCCATGGCCGCATGCAGGCCCCCTCCGCTGCTTGTCGTGGCGCTGGAGTCGATGAAATCGGCTGGCGACACCGCGGCAGGCCCCGCCATTGCGGGCGAGACATAGGGGTCATAATCAGTGACAGCAGAGATGGTAGGGGAAGATGATGATGATGGGGATGAGGCTGAGGCTGAGGCTGAGTTTGAGTGGAATGAAGGGTTGTGGTGGTAAAGACTAGTGGTGTCAATGTTGTTGAAATCATGGAAATTGAGGTTTAGGCCAAGGGCTTGGTTTGGAAGGGTGAAGTTGAGATTTTGATCACCACCAAAGGGTAGAGTTGAGATTGGAGAATTGGAAGGCCAAAACAATGGATTTGGAGGAGGAAGTTGATGATTGTGATGAGAAGAGAAATTGGAGGAGTAGGAGGACAAGTTGTCGAGGTAATTGGAGAAGATTGATGTGTTTGATGGGTAAATCCTATGGTTTCTCCTATGTTTAACCTTCCCTTCTTGTTGTTCAAAGTGAAGTGGAGGCTGCAAAAGTTGTGATTGTGGCTGTTGTGGTGATGGTGGTTGTTGTTGCTCTTGTTGTTGTTGCTGCTGCTCATTGGCTTGTTTCATGGCTGCTCTATGGAACTTGAGAGCGGTGACAATCTCTCTTCTAGCCTCAGCCATGTTTAGAAGCCTTTCTTGGTATGGCCTACTGGTGTGGAGTCTCCTCCTTACTTGCTTTTTGTGTTGTTGGGGTCGTTGGGTTTGCTGTGTTTGTTGTGTTTGTTGTTGGGTTTCGCTTAAACCAGCTTCTCCAAGTTTGGTTAAGTTTTGGCCAGGAAAACTTTGATGATGACCATCAACAAGAACAACACAATCTGGGTTGTCTTTTGGGTTAATATTCATGGAGTCTTTGGTTTTTGAAGAGGTCAGTTGTTTCACTAGGCTACGGATATAGGCACCAGAGAGATGAGGCTCCTCCTTAAGCTTACTAATTTTGTCTATTTCCATTCCTTTAGTTTCATGCTTTGAGGAAGATCGCCCTTGCCTCATCTCACCAAGCTTTTGTCTTTTTTTTTTTCTCTTTTTTCCTTTTTTTCTTTCAAGTTTAGCTATAAATGGAATGTGGAAAAGAGGTGGTGGTGGGTTGGAAGAATCATGGGTTTTTCCGCTATATTCTTAAGGACAAAGTACAACAATATTGCAGAGAAAGAGGCAGAGCTGATCCTTTGAAGTCCGGAGGAACCTCATGGGTGTTATAAATAGCTGAGGACAGTCTAGGGTTTTTAAAAGTTTTTGGAATTTTCCCCGTTTTGGCAAACCACATTAGTTACTGTTTTATTACTCCTTTAAATGGGCAGTTATGAAGGTTGGCCTTTTCTTTTCTACTACAATTTACCACTACCAGAATTTTTTGTCTTTGTTTTTGTTTGTCCTTTGGGGGTTGTTTACACTTTATAGTTTATACTACTTTTTTTTTTCCTTCAAATTAATGTGAAAACATCTCCACCTACATATAATAATAATGTTTCCTACTCTCATTAAATTGCTACTACTAAAGTGCAGCTAAAACCTAGTTCAGTTAATTGACAAATAAAACCTGTAAAAGTCAAATATATGATAGAACTTCTAAAAGATATGACAGCATTCAATAAACAATAACATTTTACCGGATATAAGAAGAGGCTCCAAGAAATAACCTTTTTTCTCTTCTTTTTTGTCAACCTACAACAGTCTTTTCACTCAAAGAAGCAATATTAAACGACATCATCACGAGAATTATTTTAAGGGAAATTGCACACTATCACGTGATAATACCTAAATCTTGCATTACCTAGAATGAGATTGGATTAAAAACAACAGTAGTAGAGATAATAACAATGATCAATCATTATCCCCAATAAAAAAAAAACAATGCTCAATAGAATAGACTTCAATAGGATGGACTTCAAGTAGGAAAGTTGATTACAACTCCTATCTTAACATGAAAAATAACAAAAATCTTGTGATTTGTCAAATTTATTGTACTAAGTGATGTGTAAATTATCTTTCCAATTAATGAATCAAACTTTTTTACAGCATTTTATTACCAAAAAAAAAAAAAAAAAAGAATTAATATTGGCTTAGAATGCACATAAATTCCCTTTTAGTACAATTCACATGTGGTAGTTTTAGATTGTAATATTTCGATTTACATGTGTGATTACTCTAACAAAGATGACATTTTAGGCATACAATAATTCATGGCTATTCTGGTATATTGTCTGCAAGTACAATGGGACCAGGCTCTAAAAGACGTCAGCAAAAGCCTACTGGGACTGACAAAAGAATCTCCATTACTGTTGTAACCTTCTAATTTTTATTTTCAATTATTTTTAATGAGAAAAAAGAGAAAGCATCCAATTTTTCTGTTTAAACAACTTGTTCAACATGATTTGAGTCTGTTCATAAAACAGAGAACTTGGACCTTTTTGTTAAGGCATTCCACAGTGTGTTTAAAAGACAGAAGTGCTCCATACTATCCTCCCTATTTTCCTCTCTCAATATTATTATCTTTTTCTTTCTGTGTTACTGTCTTTCTATATCAATAATTTTCACTTTGATTCCTCTATTCCAATTGGAGAAGACAGAGGCATGGCTTTTATGAATTTTAGCAGAGTTTTCAGGCAGCAATAAACAGTGAAAAAAAGTGCAGAAGACCAAGTCATTACCTGCCTAAACAGAAAGATCAGATCAGCTCCTACATATCAAGTTAAGATTAGTCAAAAGAAAAGATAAACAATTCAGCAGAGCTAAAAACAAAATTTGTAGCTAAGATCACATACTAAGACCCCGTTCATTTTACCGATTCGAGTTTAGAATTTGAGTTTTGTTACAGTAAAAAACTTTCATAAACAGTCACATTTAACTCTTTTACTACTATAAAAAACAATCGCATAAAGTCACGTCTCAACTCGAATCAGCAAACAAAACGGACCCTAAAACTATTCATTCTCAAGTTAAACACGCAGAGAACAAATTCCTTAAAATCATTATTTAATACATCGTTATTTTTTTGTGCTAAATTTATAGATGGCACACTTGGTACCAAATTTAACAACAAATATAGCATATGCAGCATCAAGTATTAGCATGGCCAATGCGTTACCAAAGTAGTATGCTAAAGCCAAATTTTAGCATTTAACTAGGAAAATCATTCTCTAATACGGCGTTATCTTTCGTGCTAAATTTAACACATGTTATACTTAGTGTCAAATTCAGCATTTATTAAATCTTGATGTTTGATTATTATTAGCAGATATATTCACGTTTTTATTTAATAATTACAACATTATCATTTTCAAATATTGTTTTAGATTAAAAATTTCTTTCACAAGTTCCAAACTTAATAATTATAATGAAAGAAGTAAAAATTATAAATTATAAAATAACATATCAATTTTCACATTTTTTAGTGTCATATTGACATTTGCCATAGTCTAAGATTGGGTGTCACGTGCAACATTTCTACGAATATTTGAAAATCAATGACTTAATTGTTAAGTACCTTTACTTTTCACTTTTCAGTTTAATGATTCCGAATATTCTACATGTTTAGAATAAGGCTTTTTGGTTAGATAGCAACTGAGCTAGGAAAGGGAAAAATAATAATAAAATAATACACTGTTTGCCTCATTTTTCATAGTTTAGAAACCTAATGTAAGCATTTCCAGAAACAAATAGGCTAATTTTCTACCGGAAGATCAATCCTAAAGAAGGAGAATATGTTAGGCGAATAAGCTAAAGCCTCAATCGCTGTCTATGTATTAATTTAGCATTATTGTACTGTTAAAAAATTTTATTACTGTTGTGCTATTAGTAATAATAGTGGCGGAGCGAGGTGAGGCCCCCGGTGCATATGCCACTTGAATTTTTTATATTTAAATTTTAGTATATGTTTTTTTAAAACTTTTTCATATATGCTCTCCTTATCAATAAAAATTTTAAATATATCCTCACAAAATTTAATCTCAAATTATTTTGTTTATTTATATTGTTCGTTTGATCTTTTCTTATTAAATCTTATATTTTTAAATGTACCTAATTGATTTTTTTCTCAAATTTATTCTTATAAAAATAATTTTTCTTTCAAATTGGTCCTTCTAAAATACTTTTAAATATAATCAAGCTATATAAAAAATGACCCATTAAAATATTTTTCTCAAAATGTGTCCCTAATTAAGATTTTTTTTTTCAAACAATCATCTCAATTACGACTTTTTCACACATATATTTTCTCTAATTTTCCCTTGTTGGAGTAATATGTATTTATTCAAATGTGCCCTACATACTTAAAGATCTTTTTCCCCCCTTTTAGCACTAGCATCTACTATTTTCTCATAGATTTACCTCCTAAATAGTTTTTCTTATCTAATTTACTTATTAAAATCTTTATTATTCAAATATGTTAAATAGTCTATACATATATACTACTCATCTAAAAATATTAAGAGTTGATTTTATTAACATTTTACGTTTTTAGTTTACACCCCACCTGAATCAAAATCCTGACTCCGCCACTGAATAATAAGTTACTATGATTAGAAGCTATGTCCTTTATCAAAGTATTTTTCTGTTAGGTTTCTGGTTTTCAATGTTTTAAACTTTATTCAAAATTAATAGAATTCAATCACGTCATTTTCATTCTATTTATAGATTTTAAGATTTCTTTAATAAACGAGAAACATAACAATACTAGCTTACCTCTATGAATTTGAAGTTTCTAATTAGGAGTTCACTAACAACAACTACCACTAGGAGAACTAAATTGAATCCCAGCTCTTTTTGACTAAAACCAAATCATTTTAGCTACGAGACGTTTGGTTCATAGATTTAAAATTATAATTTATAATTTTAATTTTTAAAATTTTAATTTTTTATTAAAAAAAATATAAAGAATTAAAAATCATGATTTAAAATCAACAAACCTTTAAAACAAACCTCTAATAAATCTTCGACCTTCTGAAATATTTTAGCTATGAGACGTTTGGTTCATAGATTTAAAATTATGATTTATAATTTTAATTTTTAAAATTTTAATTTTTTATTAAAAAAAAATATAAAGAATTAAAAATCATGATTTAAAATCAACAAACCTTTAAAACAAACCTCTAATAAATCTTCGACCTTCTGAAATATCTTATCCTCCATGGAAATAAACAATTTTGACAAGAATAATATTTGCTTTTCTCATTATTCCTCACGTCCAGTCAAATTACGGCTCAACCAAAATTGAAACATATCCTTATCCCTATTACGCAATCAACACAAAGTCCACCAAAAATTTTTTTGCCTTTTTTTTCACAAATTATTTTCACGTTGTCACTCTCTAACGTAAGTGTAGCAACTAATTTGACTAGATAACCAAAAAAAAAAAAAAAATCAACAATCTCATACAAAGACCAAAAAGGGGGAAAATTAACAAGCTAAACAACAACAGAAGTAGAAGAGGGAGAAAAAAAAAAAAAAGGGACATCAAATCATTTTGTTTGAAAAAAAAAATGATTAATGTGAAGTGGGGAGGGGGATACGTATAGAATAAGCAATTTAAGAATAAAATAATAATAATAATAATAAATGAGTAATAACATTATATAATAATGAGAATGCAAAGAAAGAAGATAAAGAGAGAGAAGAAGGGAAGAGAAAGAGAAAGAGAAACAGAGCTTTTCCTGCTCTGTAAGTGGATAACATCAAAATAGAATGGATGGATGCATATTTATTTATTTATTTATTTGTCTGTCTGATTAATTTAATATTTTTTATTATATATACTAAATAAAAACAAAACAAAAAAAATTGAAAGAAAGAGAGAAATTCTTACGGATAAAAACCAAATGAAACCAAAGGAAAGAAGCCAGATTGCCAAAACCAGACAGGTCTCTCACCAATGGCTTGACCGCATACACAGCAGGTGGCCTTCAAGATAAATATTTTTAACAGATAAGCCCTCCTTTTCACGAATCCCATTCTTCATTCAACTCTCTTTTCCATCACTCTCTCTCCTCTCTCTCTCTCTCTCTTTAATTTTTCCCCGTTGGATTCCATTCCATTCACACATCACTGAACTGCGTGTGACTGTAATAAAAATCACACCCTTTTTTTTTTTTTTTTTTTTTTTGGGGGGGGTTTGGCTTGGCTTGGGTACTCGTTTTATACACCGAAAAGAAACTTTGGTGAATCCATTCATTGATTTGGTTCTTTTTTTTTCCTGATTCCCACTAGCTGAAATTTTCACCTCTGGTTTCTGAGATGTTTGCAGGGCCTGGCTGGTCGTGCACTCCTCAACAGTTCACACGCACTCTCCCTCTTTCTCTCTTCTTTCTGCTTCTGGGGTCCCCTCCTTTTCTCCCTTTCTTTTTTTTTTTTTTTTTTTGCCTTGATAATAATTATAAGATTTACTGGTATTGTCCAAATTTCATTAAATTCACAAGTTATTTATTATGTTTTTTTACTAGGACAGATTTCTAATAAGGCAAGAAAATACTCCACAGTTTTCACCATATAATCAAATCAGATATAATAATAATAATTTAAGAGTATTTAATAAATGTTGAGTTTTGTTTTTTTTTTATTAGCATTTCAAAGAGTTTTCTTAATTTTTATGTGATTTTAATGTAATTACGATGATAAGTAATATGATGGGATGATTTGGATATAAATTGATTTAAAAAAAGTAAATAAATAAATAATACAAGTAATAGTAGAGATTAAGAGTCCGTTTAGTTCGCTGATTCGAGTTTTTAATTCGAGTTGAGATGTGACTTTATGTGAGAATTTTTTATTGTAACAAAAAAGTTAGATGTGACTGTTTCTGAGAGCTTTTTACTGTAGTAAAACTCAAATTCTAAACTCGAATCGGGTGAAGTGAACGGAGCTTAAAAATTCCATCTTAACAATTGAAATATTCTTTTACTGATTTGGGATGGGAAGATTAGAGGTCAAATCCACTTTGATCTTGCTTGAAATTATGTGACGAAGGAGTAAAGAGGGATAAATAATGCAACAGAGCACCCACCAAATCTGAGTTAGAAGTTGACCACCTCCGAGGGACCAACGGAGCAGATACTGTGAATTTTGTCATAAAAATCAGGGTGGCAAAGTACACTAATAAATGTATACAACTGATAAACAATCAACAATTTACTGCTGCCTCTTTTTTCTTCCCTTCTTGCACCATAATTACCACTTCTCTTTTGTATTTTTATTATGTTAATGTTTCACAGGTAAAAATCTCTAAAGTGGACTTTACTTACCAAGCCATAATACGTTTAATTTATTGAGTGCAATTGAGAACTATTATACGTGTGCGTGTTTAGGTTTTACTTGTTTTGTGAATTTAAATTTTTTATTTAAATTTAAATGTGATATTTTTTTAAAAAAAAATTTAATTATAGTAGAAAAAATTAAATGTGATATTTTTTAAAAAATTTTAACTTAAAAATTTAAAATTAAAAACTCAAATAAATTAAAGTCGTATTTATTTTATCAATTTAAATTTTATTATAATAAATAAAATTTTAAAATAATTATATTTAATTTTTTTATTATAATAAAAAATTTTATATAAAATTATATTTTAATTAAAATTAAAAATTTAAATCAATAAACTAAAGGAACGAATTTTTGTTTTTTCTCTCTTAATGATCTATCGAGAGAAGCTTTGAAGAAAGGGTCAAATAGGGTGGTATTTATCTAAGTTCACTGCGGAAAACAAGTGTGGGACCGCCTGTGGAGAGTGACGGACATGATGTGACGGGTCATCCTCCAACGGCTAAGTTTCCATTAAGGTGCTGACACTTTATGGTGCCACGTGGGCTGAGCTTTAAGGCTCCAATCAGATGAATGACGCCACGTGGGATCCAACGTAATGGACAAGAAATAGGCAGCACCATGGCTCTCCCCCTGCTCCTGCCCCACGGCCGCCCAAACAAAAGCCTGCTGTCCCCTCTCTCTATCTTTATCAATTCTTCACAACTCTCTCTCTCTCTCCCTCTTTATTTCTTTCCCCAACATTTTAACTGTTTATATACGTATAAGTTAAATAAGATAAAAAAAATTGAGTATTTTTACACATTTATCTCCTGAATTTATATAATTTTAACAATTTATCTTTTAAATTTTTAATTTTAATAAGTTATCTCCTTAATTTATAAACTTATTGTAATATATCTCATTTTAACATTAATTATATTAAATTACTATCGAAAAAGCACGTTAATAAAAAATTTTTAACATCTCAATTTTAAATGTGACATAAATTTTTTAATTTCTCAACTTTTAATCATTTAAATCTAACAAAAAAATTTGAGCAAATTTAGTAAAATAGGGCATTTTGTAACATTTTTATAAATTCAGGAGTGTTCATTACCAAAATTAAAAGTTTATAGAATAATTTGTTAAATCACAACAAGTTCATAAGACAATTGTACTAAAAATCTAAAAAAATTTAATGAAATTGTTATGACCTCGGATGCCTAAATTCTAACGGTAGTCACATTTTGTCTCTGATGTTGTATTTTCATGTCAGTATTTTATCCTTTGATAGAACGATGTCAATAAGCAAGTTCGCAAATAAAGTACTCGTTAAAGCTTTATTTTAAACCGTCAAACATGTATTATAATCTGTCAAATTTACAGTGATGTATTTTACTAAAAAGGTAAAGGTGGAATCTGAGTATGGAAAGCGATAACATTAAATAAAATTTTTATTGTAAATATAAGAAAATAACAACGTATCATTCTGCATGTTATTTATTTGTAATAAATTTAGATGAAAGGATTTAACTTTACATCTAAAAGTGGAATCTGGTGACAACTTACATATTGTTCTAAACATTAAATCATATTAAAATTGTATGGAAACAAGAATAACATGTAAACGTAAGGATATCTACTAAGGAAACATTTAGTTCATGGATTAAAATCATGTTATTAGAACTATTTTCGATTTACGTGTATTTTTTGTGAGAAAAAATATTGTAGAGAACCATGAATCATAATTCAAATCATGGTTTGAATCCTCCAACCAAACATCCCTTAAAATATTTTTTTTTTCCTATTTTATTGTGCAATCATCCTAAAATTTAAGGGGTGTTTCCAACCAAACATCCCTTAAGATTTTTTTTTTTTCCTATTTTATTGTGCAATCATCCTAAAATTTAAGGGGTGTTAGTTGGAATAGTGGTGGAATTGGGAATAGGGTAGAGAAGAGCCGATCGTTGCAGGTCTCCTCACACTGCTTAGGTCTCTCTCCAATTTAACCCCCCAAATTGTATGGTCACTTTCCGCTTTAAGTGGGGGTGGCGGTGGGACCATCACATTTTAATCTGCCACCAACATCAACATATCACTACCATTCTCTCTCTTTTCTTAAAAAAAAAAAAAAAAAAACCTCTCTCTCTCATTGTGATAGAGGACTTTCTCTCTCTCTCTCTCTCTCTCTCTCTCTCATTCATTGTGATAGAGGACTTCCTAGCCTTGAAAGAAACTTTTGGTTATGGTTTTGGAATGACAACTTGCAACCAATGAAAACCAAGGGCGTATCCCATCCTTTTGCTTGTGAGAGAACAAAGTGATTTTGGCCTCCTTCCCTTCTGCTTTAGGCTCCCAAAACAATGAGTCAATCACCCCCCTCCATGCATGAACCTATCCTTTTCCCAAGCTCTTATTTTATAATGTGCATGTAAACTAAAGTCCATATTTATTTATTTTTTTCGTGTATATATTTATCATAAGCGTCTAATGACTTCTATCGTTACATTTTACTTTTTTAAGGGCTTTTAATTAGGGGTGGTAATTCGTGTCACGTGTCGTGTTTTGATTGTTTATTTTTAAATTTACAGTCAACCCGAACACGACCCGTGACACGAAATTTTTTAAAAATCGCAACACGAACACGACACGACTACTTTACGGGTTGACATAACACGACATGAAAATGACCCGTGAACCCGAAATTGACACGAAAATTGTATACTTTTATTTAGTTTTTTACATATTATAAATAACGTAAAATTCATAACACACTACAATACAATAACATCCATTAAAATTAAGCAAACAATAGTATAAGATTTTAAGTATAACTATCATGATATCACAAGTTCATAATAAAATCAAAAATATGTAATGAAAAATATATTTATTTTTTAGTTTTTTACGAGTTTCGTGTCGTGTTCGGGTTAGGCAGGTCAAACCCTAAATTGACCCGTGTTTTTCGTGTCAATTTTAGATCGACTCAATTCTGATCCGAATCTCTTTTTTCTCAATTCTAACCCGCGAAATTCGTACCGTTTTCAAATCATGTTGACGTATCGTAACCCATATTACCAGCCCTACTTTCAATAGTGTTTGGTCCCTCCTTTTCTTCCTTAAAGTGGAGGCCTAGTGATTAAGATGATCGAAATAACAGAGCAATAAAAAGGTTATAAATGAATTGAATGCTAGCACATGATAGGGGTTGGTGGTCGCATGCATGCCACAAGTAACAGAGAAGGTGCCCTGCATTAAAACAAACAAATGGGCTATCCATGAGCAAATGCAATCCTCAACCCCACTCAATCTTCGGCTAATATATATCTTCTTCTAAGTCAAGAAGACACCAAAACAACATATATTAGTAAAACATAAATAAATAGATAGGGTTAATTTCACTTTAAACCCTGAAGTAACAGACAAATCTTATTTTAGTCCACAATTTTAAAAACGTCCTAAAAAAGAGTCCTCAATGTAGAGAATTGTCCCAAATCAATCCTTCCGTCCATCTGATTATTATGACATCAACATGAAATGGCATGACATAATCATGTGTGTTTTAGTAGAGATTAATTTTATAAATTTATATGTTGGTCCATAATTATAAGAGGGAAACCATCTTTTTTTTTTTTGGTCGAGATGTTAGAAGTCAAATAGAGAGAAGTACTAGTTTGAAACAAGAGTAATCAGGTTTTTTTTTTTTTTTTAAAAAAAAGTAATTAGGTGACTTGTTATAACTTACACGATAGGGATCAAATAGAGTTCTATTATTGTTTAGGAGTTGAAATCGAAATTAACCCAAAGAAATAAGAAAAGGGGTTTACTATTTGTGGCCCGGATATTGACTGCAATTGTGAAATTCAAATCAAACGATACTTCAAAAAAAGTGTAACGGTATTCCTTACGCTTATCTCATAAGGGATGTTTAATTTAGTCAATATCACTATAAAATACATACGACAAGGTGCCCCACTTAGAAATTTTCGTAAATGAATAAATATATACTTCACAATGGTATGATCATCTCTAATATAAATACTAATGTAATGTCAATTATATATGTAGTATCAGAATGTATGATATGAAATAGTATTTTCATTTTTACTGATGTATAATGCTATTTGAAATGTTAAATATAATTTTATCTATAATTATTAGAGAGATTTTTTGTTATGGCTGGCGTACAGGTAGGTCATGTTTTTCTAACCGTTAGATGTGCGTACTTTTTGACTTTTACCTGATTTTATGCATATCCGACGGACATAAAACCTGACCTGTCAGTATGTTAGCGTATCAAAAAATGTCTATATTTATTAAGTTTTGAAAGTTGTAAAGGTAAACTTTTATTTTTTAAATAATTAGAAAATTACAAAAGTTGCAATAATTATATAAAAAAAAATAAACATTTTAACCAATAACAATCATATGTCAGATTTTCTTTAGGCTATACTTGGTGAAAAATTTATCATAAATTATAGTATATGAGAAATTTGGCACAACAAATAACATTTCATTAGAGAGTATTTTTTACACTCAAGTACTAAATTTACAATTGACACGTTAATTATAGCATTGCATTGAAAATGCTCTAAGTTTCATCGTTCACAATTCGCATAGTGGAGCGACTATGGTTAAAAGAAGTATTTTACTCATTATTGAAGCGATGAAACCGTTATAAAAAAACAAAAAAGAAATATTAACATTACTTTTTCTTACTCTCTTTGTCACTCTTTACATTTATTATTTGACAAGTGAAATCTATTATCTCATTTTTTATTTAAATAATAATAGATCATGTTAAAAGTATCCGTGTGTTAAATAATAAATGTATAAAGTGATAAAAAAAATATCAAAAAAATAATACTAGCATTAATATATAGTAGGTTGCAATTTGGAGTGAGATCTTGTGGCAAAAAGGTCTTTATAGGTGTCATCGGACTCAAACTTTAGTACGACCTTGTCACTTAAATTACACCCCAAAAAAAGTACGATTGAAATCTGACAATTACAAACCATGAAAGAGCGTTTCCTTAATTAAAATTTAAGCTCGAATGAAGTTTGGTAGGGAGTAATGACAGGTTTTTTCCATTTTCAAAGTTTGACATCTTCAATCGAGAAACTTAATTGCTGCTACTGTAGATAAAAGCTTCAGTAGCTCGCCTAGTTTGACCGTTTGTTCATAGATTAAAATCATGAGATTATAATTATTTTTTATTTATGTGTATTTTTTGTGAGAAAAAATATTATAACGAATTATAAACTATGATTCGAATCAAAGAACGAATCTTTCAACCAAATGGTATGAGATTATAATTATTTTTTATTTATGTGTATTTTTTATGAGAAAAAATATTATAATGAATTATAAACTATGATTCGAATCAAAGAACGAATCTTTCAACCAAATGGGCTCTAATGTTGAACAACTTCAAATTCGAACATATCTCCCTCACAGTATTACGCGTCGTTGGCCTTATTAGCAAAGCGCTGATTATTAGCCATTTCACCAAAACCACAATCAATATAGAATGGGTACAATCACAGCCAAACGCAAAATTAGGCTGCTACACTACTTGCCATTGTTCACGGCGAGGATAAGTCCAAGTATTTACTAGAAGAATTATGTGATAGGGCGAGATAAATCCCCCTCTCATTACATGGTGGGTCCACCTACTCACCTAGTAAGACCCACCTTATGTGAACAATGGAGTTTTAACTTTACGGGGTTATAAGAATGATTAGGTCTCGTTCACTTCGTGAATTTAAATTTTTAATTTGAACTGAAATGTGACATTTTTTTAAAAAATTTCACTGTAATAAAAAAAATTAAATGTAATATTTTTTTAGAGCTTTTAATTATAAAAATTTAGAGCTGAAAACTCAAACCAGCCTTAATATTCTATATCCTACCACAGAATTCTATCGTGTCCAAAGCGAATGCAGGCACCATAAAAAGTCACTGCTATTTTGCTTCGATTGATAATAGCTAATAGCTGGAACACTGGGGACACGTCAGTTTGATGAAGACCAGTGTGGTCACGGAATTACAGAAAAGAAGGGTGATGCCTCTCTACTACTTGCCTGCAACTCTACAAGACTCTATGATACTATTTATTCTTCCATTAATTCCCGTCAAGAATCACTGTAAATGACCCTGAAATATTAATGAATCAGAAAAAAGTTTCTCTGAGCTATGATGGTAATGATACACCTTCAATATAACTAAGCAATGCTATTCCATGAAACTATAAAAATTTTCGTCCGTAATTTAGTCGTAATATGTTTGGTGATCAATTTATAAGCATACAATTGTTTTTGTGCAACTCCAAAATTTCTATTTCTATACATGCAATCCTCTTTTTATTTTGAACTGCCTAAGCTAATGAAATGAACGGCAGACTGAACACAAGCAAAATGTTGGATTATTTCTATGTTGGACTGGACCTGTGACTTGTGAGCATTTCAAGCCTCTAAACGTCTGAACCAGTTGCTAATGGTTCTGACAAGGACTCTACTGTCATTCAAGGAAAGAGTTTTGAGTCCCTGAGCAATAGCATCTGCTGGAGTGTACACCTCACCTACTTGCCACTTTGGCTCCTGATCATGCCAAGAATAAAACAGGAAAGAAAAACTAGGATTAGCAATCTAGTGCTAAAGTTCAAGACAATAAGATTTTGGGTCGATTTTAAGCATACAGAGTACTGGTAAAGAGCTCGCTTGAATTATTAGATGTGTAGGTAGCAATATAGCGCAGTTTGATTTAGAGTTGTCAGTTGAGTACCTGTATGCATGGTGTGATATGGTTACCACTTAATTCGACTTTTTCTAGCGTTCCGCCAATAAAATCCACACGAGGCTTCAATGTTTCTTCAAGAAGATCTGTCTCATCGATTGTGTCGAAACTGAACTTTACCTACAGCATGACAATACTTTGAGACGGATGATAAAAAAAAATAAGAACCATCCATTTCATCGCAGTTCAAAACAAGGGGGGTGGTATTACACATACAAGTAGTGTGTGCTTGATGTTGTATGAATTCTTGCAACGATCGCGATTTTCTGAGGGTGTGGGCTTGAACTCCGATATCCCTTGAGTGACCTGATATTGAATTCATAGAAGCTTTTGAGGTTATCATCCACCGAGATATATCATTTAAACATGCAGAAGATGCATTGAGGGCATAGGCTTGAACTCCGATATCATTTAGACGTATCGGAAAGGTATCAAAATACCTCGTTAAAAACAGAGGGCAACTGATCAACAAATTTGGTAACTGAAATCAGAGTCTCCTGATCATTGTTCGGTATTATTGCTCCAGCTGCATCAATTAGCACCTTCCATGCATCCCCTAGATTTGAAGTATCAATACATTTGGAGCATGAGAAAGATTTTTATTTTTTATTATTATTATTATTATTTTTTAAAAAGCTCATAGATACAGCCCATGGCATAGTACGCAACTACCAGTCACAGCAGCTGAATTTGAAAGAAGCCAATAAATAACAATAGTTGGCGCAGTAGGTAAAATGTAAGTGTGATATATAAAATGTGTACCCAGAGAATGACAATGTAAAAGGAGCTAAACAGAAGTACGGTACTCTCATAAATTGTAGTAAAGGAGCTACCTGAGGCACTTCTAGCCATCGAATAAACTGGAGATGCTTCTACAACCGGCATGATTTGTCTAACTAGTGGACCCAACTGCAGTACGGTACTAGAAATTAGACCAATAAATCAAGACAATTCCAAATACATCAAGGAATAAATAATCTTTTTCTCTTTGCTACTTCTAATTCAAGTTTTTCCCATAGACTAGTATCACTAAGACTGCAATAACTAGTGGAAATACCAGGATATCATCCTAGGACCTCCGCATAAAGGTGTCCCACAAAGGAAGATTTCTCATTTCATTACTAATCACTCTAGTGATAGTTAGCATAAGAATTAAGCATCTTCGACCATAGCATCTTCAGCAACGTCCATAGCTAGTCAAATATAATAACTCCTTTCCAATAATAGGCTCAAGAACGTTAGCATTGAACTTATTTGTTTATCTATCTTGACACAATACATCCTAAAGTACTAACTATCAAAATAAAATGTCGACATTAACAAGTTACAGCAAGTATTATTTCCACAACTTAATTCTGCAACAAGGACAATTACTAACCTGCTCAAAGTAAGGCACTGCCTCCGTCGCTGGCCTGTTGTTGTATGAAATTATGACATTCGCCTTTGACCACAGGAAACAATAATTCAAGCCAAATTCAGACGAAAAACACATACGTAAGGGAAAAGCCAGTGAAAAATGACACCAAAATCAAGCTTCAATATATATAAGAGAAAAACCAAACCTTTGGTATCCTTTCACAGAAATAGCTTCCCGTGAGTACTTGTAGCAATGCACCATTACTATACCAAAAATTAAATTTTTTTTAAAAATCAATATATCAGTGCATAAACCACACTTCCTTGACAACAAAAGGCCGTTAATTACAAACTTGAGCTACCTATGGCCAACAGAAAAAAGAGGAAGATCAGAAAGCTGGGCAGGCGTAAGATTGGCCTGAGGAAGCCCAGATGCCAAGACTGAATCCAAGCACGCATTGAACCTTTCGTACACTTGCTTAGCAGCATCGGCATGGTCAAAAGTCACGTTGTACGGCACTGAAATAACAAGAAACCCTTCTTTGGCCAACAGCTCAATGACATAGCTGAACCAAACGAACAAACCCCCACAAATTCATTTCCAACAAAAACCAACCCAAAACTACCAAAATAAAAAAAAGAATTTAGACAGAAAAACCAAAAGAGGACCTGTAAGTGAGTTCAGGAGCGGCTCCGATGAAGGCGCCGCCCAAGAATTTGACGACGGCGCGAGGCTTCGTCCCAGTAGGCGGAGGAATTACGAGGCAAGAATCCATTCGTGTGTAGAATCTAGTACTGTTTTTGGTGGTTATCGTAGCGTTGTTGTTGTTGGCTCCGAAATCGCGTGAAGAACCTGCGTACCCATTCAACGCCGCAGAAGAAGAAGAAGCGCTTTTTACTGCCGTCGCTCGGTTGCCATTAAACTGGAGATTGGAACGACGGCGATTGAGCTGTGTCGCTGGGAAAGTGTGTTTGGCGCCGAGTAACGAGGACGACGAGGACGAGGAAGTGGAACAGGTTGCCAGTAGCTCCATGGAAACCCAGATGAAAGTGAAGTGAGGTTTTGGAATTTGATTATTGTATTATTGTTGTTATTGCTATTGCTATTGCGACAACATCAGTGGAGGAATGTTTTGCTCATCTGAGTTTGTGACTTGTTAATTTGAGATTTCGTTGGGAGAGAGAAGAGTTCTGGAATACTTAAAACGTAAGTTGGTGGTTGCGCCACGATTTCGTGAAATTCCCTTTGGCCTTTCAAGTCAACGATGGGATTTCTATTTTTTAATTTTTGTTTTTTTTCAGACCTAGTTCATTTCGGCAATTCAAATAAAAATAAGTTTTTGTTATAATAATTTTTCTAATAAAAATTCAGAACTAGTTCATTTCGTCAATTCAAATAAAAATAAGTTTTTGTTATAATAATTTTTCTAATAAAAATTGGATTAATTTTAAAAATTATTCTCGAACTATAACTCTTATAACATTTTGTCCCCTAAATTTTAAAAGTAACATCTATTCTTCTCGAATTTTATTCCGTTAACAAGTTTTATTCTTCTATTACAATGAGTGACATAATTGTCACGTGTCACTTATTTAGTGATAATTAAAAGTGCAATTATGCTTATACCCTCCTAATCAGATAATTCCTCATTTTTATTGAAAAAATTCACCATCTTTGTTCCCATTTTGCTTATTTTTTTTCCTCACTTGTTCATCTATGGCAAGTTCCTGCAATACAAATAGTGGTGGCAACGGCTGGGTAAACGACAAAATTCGAGGTCCTATTTGATGTCGATGTTGGTTGGATCCGGTAGTGAAGACATCACACACGAAGAAGAATGTAAGAAGACAATTTTATGGTTGCATTCAGTATAAGGTAAATCGGTTAACATTGGACAACAAAGCTTTTGTATATTTGGGTTGAATATGGTTAATTTGGGTTTGATTGACACTGTAGGTTGATTCTGTTTTAGTTCGGGAGGAATTTTTGAAATTAATCCTTCATTTTATGATTGAATGCATAATAAAGAGGAGAGAGGCTGTGGGTTTACAAAGTGACTTGATAGTGGAGAAAATTTCCGTGCAAGAAAGCGGGTTCTAAAATTAAATTTCAATGCAAGAGATGTGGTTACAAAATTAGTAGAAAGAGTAACAAGTTGAACCAAAAAATTGATAGCTTGAATGAAGAAATTATGGAGTTGAAGGATACATTTAGAAAGAAGAGTGTAGAAACCGAGATGGAAATAAAAAAAAATAAGGTTCCTCAGATTTTTCTTTTCAGGAGAAAAGTTCTAACCCTAACACAACCAAAAAAATCGACAAAACAGGGTTTTTTTAAAACGTATTTGAGTTTTTTAATCATTTTTTTAATAACCTAGGGTTGTTGCAGGTTAATTTATGATAATACTCTCCTCAAATGGGTCGCATACCTGACACGTAGCGATTTTCGTCACTCATTGTAGCTGAAAGATATAACTTGTTGAGAACCGATGTTACTTTTAAAAATTCGAGAGGTCATAGTTCGGAAGAATTTTTAAAATTAATCTATAAAAATTTAAATTTAACTTTTTTTGTTTTAGTGTTTACTTCCACATAAATTCATTTGTCAACTCGAATTGAAAAGACAAAAGTGAAAAAACAAATAAAATTCATGTTGGAGCCATTTTCACCCACACGAGATATTAGTATTTAGACAGAAAATAAAGTAGACTCTAAGGCCCGTTTATTTCTTATACTCAAACTCAAATTATTCATTCTACTGAAGTGTTTTTTTCTTAAAAAAATTTAAATTTCAAACGTCAAAATTAAAAATCATAATTTGAGTATACTTTTTAAACAAGCCATAAAATAATGTGATAAAATTTACGTGTTACATTTACTATGCTAGCATTTCTCAAACAGAAAATTGATTTTTATTGACAAAAATGAGAATTGAGAAGTCCTCCCAACACACGCCCAAGACAAAAACGACATCAATTTCAGTAAACGAAAAGAAGAATAAGAACCAAGAAGAATAAGAACCAATTAGAGAGATCAAGAAGTTAAGAACAAAGAGTAAAGCCACAAGAAAATTCAAGATTACAAAAATGATAGAGAGAGAGAATCAAATAACGTAACAGAAGACAACAAAATATAAAAAAGACGAAAACATTAACAAACGACAACATATTGTAAATGGAGAAAGGAGAATAAGAGGTCAAAACGACAACAAAGTAAACAAAAAGCAGAATAAGAAACATCAATTAGAGAGAGGGGAAAAAAAAAAAAAAAAGGCTCCAAGCTTAACGAAATATATAGTAAATTACAGTAAAATATTTCAGAAGCTAGCAAGACATAGCATATGTTTCATCATCAATTACCCAATTCTCCAAGGCATTTTCAATAGAAAGTATCCAATCCATAACTACAAACATATCTGAACACCATTGGTCGTTTAAACCACGAAGCCAAGGCATTATATTGGAAAGTATCCAATATAATGCAATCCAAGGCAATTTCGACTTGCATTATATTGGAACTCAATTGGAATGGCAGGTAACAATTCATTGTAATCAAGTATTACAAGATGGGAATCATAAAGAGTTAAACAACCACATAAAAGTTGCACCAAACTAAACATACATGTATTCACCACCACGAATAGCATTTGCAGCACCTTTCCTCTCTTCCTCAGCCTCCCTCTCTCTCTCCTTCCAGCTCTCGTACTCATGATCGTCTGTTTGCAACTCGTGTCGACATATTGGGCAAGAATTGTGCTCATCCTGCCATCGTATGTCACAAAATCAAATTCAAGTTCGAAGAACAACAAGAACAAATCAAAAAAATCTGCAATGCCTTTTTTTTTTTTTTTTTGTTCAAAAGTTGGAATTACCAGCCAGGGCTTTAGACAAGGAGGGTGGAAAGTGTGCTTGCAAGGCAACTCTTGCATCTCATCGTTCACAACCAAATTCTCTTTACAAATAGCGCACTCTGCATCTTTACCAAGCTTTCCCAGTATTTCCTCCGTAATGGTGATGATTGGAAGCTTTGCCACAACTTCTTTACTGGCCGGTGGGACTCTTGGGGGCCCTCTTTCATCCTCCATTATCTTTTTTTTTTTCCACAAAAAAAAAAAAAAAAAAAAGCAAAGTCATATTTACTCGCTCATTTAACATCAACACAACAATAATACAAACTTAACCATTTTTCTAAGAGCAAGGAAGTACCGGAATAAGAACATCATCTAAGTTTTCGATGAGGGATTGAATCAGATTGGCGGCAGCGCTCCGCGAGGCATCCTCATTCTCCGCCGGAGCTCGAGAAGACGACTCTGCAGTCAAGAGTGTGGCCGCGGCATTCAAGAGGTTTGACTGCACCAGCCATTGAGGCTGTGGTGGCTCCGGATCCACAGTTAGATGCCCCTCAAACAGATATCCTGAATTTTATTGATCTTTTTTAAGGCAATGTGCAATAACAAATTGAACAGTGCCATTGCAAATATTTGAAATTAACTCTAATCTCATGTTACATTATCAATTACTGAAAAACCTTAAGTATTACCAATCACAAAGTGACCTAACATTGAAATTTTATGTACAGCAGTTAGGCAATGTGCAATCACAAATTGAAGAGTGGAACTACAAGAATTTGAACTTACCTCTAATAAAATGATGACGAATTTGAAGAAAAACACATTTGAATTTAATTTAATTTCTTTTTTGAGATAGAAAATAAAGTACCTGAATCGGCGGGTTGAGAGGGAACGGGATTCTCAGGTTGATGCAAAACATCCTTGGCCTGAGCAATGCAAGACTGCAAATGAGACTTCTCCGATGGGTCGGAGACCAACCCATGGGCCTGCTCGAACAGGCCCAGCCCGGCAAGCCAGAAACCCGGCGAGGTGTACCTCGCCTTCAATACCGTCGCCGCTCGGCAGATAACAGTATAGAACTGAACAAAAAGGATGAACTAGAGAATTAAATAAAAGAAAAAAACTTGAAAAAAAACAAAAAAGGAAGAAAAATTACCGATTTGCGAATAGAAGGGGAAGAAGAGGAATAACGGCGGAAAAGGAGAGATTTGAGGGAGGAGACGGCGTCCTCGAACTTGTTCTTCTTTGAGAGATCTCTTTGCAATTCCTCCAATTGTTGTTTCAAACTACTTCCATCGGACTCCATCTTTCTTATGTTTATTTTCTGTACGCGCTTCGATTCTATCGAATGTTGTATGTTTTGTCTCGGATTTTTTTTTCTTTTTCTGAGAAAGGATTTTGTATCTGAATTTATAGATGTGTATTGGGTAATTGGGTTTTTCTTGACAAGGGGGTCACCGCCGAGTCACGTCGGCGAGGCTGCTGTGCGGGGAATGATATGCTGTGGTACGCCTCTTTTAAACTGCTTGCAACCCCTACGCTAACCTAACACCCCCACTTATATGAAGCCACGTCTGAGAGTTTGATTAATTACGGTGGAATCCTGGTTTCAATGCAAAATTAAAAATAATAAGGGTTAATAATACGAATGATTCTTGAAATTTACTCTCAATTTTATTTTAGTTCACGAATTTTAAAATATCGTACAAGTTGTCTCTTCAATTTTGATCCTTCTATTAACCGAGTCTTTAAAATTTCACAAAATTTGTGTAAATTAAGGATTAAAATTTAGAGACTTTATGTGGAAATTAACTTTTATTTTTTGTATTATTTTTTTCTCTAAACTCTAAATGTTTTTCATTTTGATCTTTAATTTTTTCATATTCCGTCAAATATTTAATACTTAACTAATAGAATGATAAAAATTGAAATAAAGTAAAACTTCAGGGACTAATTACGAGATATTTTAAAAATTAAAGATGAGATTGTGAGTAAACTTCAAAAATAATTTATGAGATTAACTCAAACAATAAATAAATGAACGTAATATACATGTCGTTGTAATGGCGTGCTACATCTATAGACGTATTTGTAAATCACGAGAACGATATGTAAATCCACTCCGATATCAATTTTTGTATATCAATTTATACGGTATATGAGTTATCATTTTTTTATTAATAAATATATATTTTTATTATTAATTGATGTGATAATAATTTAAATATTTTTTAATATAAAAATAATAACTCACATATCATATAAATTAGTATATAAAAATTGAGATTTGAGTTTATATGACTGGCATTATTCTTTACGTAAAAGAAAGCGACAGGTTGTTATATTTCTATATGTGAAACTACATATCGTTTATGATTCCTGGGATGACTCGAGAGCCATGGCAAAACGGCATGCCGTTTACCCTCGAATAAATGAGGAGGAAGAAAAAAAAACCGTCATACTATCTTCTCCGTTACCCCCACGGATTTTTAATCCCTTAAATCAAAAGAGAGATTTTCAACTTGGGATTGGGTTACAAGAAGATAGTGGGATAGTTTTAATACGTTGAAACTTAAGTGATTGAAATAGAGTAAAACAACAAATTTGACGATTTTACAAGTTGAAAGTATCTTTACTTAATTTATTTTATTAAAAAAACGACATCTAACTTGAATGTAACTTTTTTAGTCACATAATTTGCCATCCAGCTTTATTGTAATCTGTCTTGTACTGTATATATTTAACATTCTATCTTTCCTACCCACGGAAAAGAAGTAAGGTATAACAATCCTCACGGTGTTTTTTTTTTTTTTTTTTTTTTTTTTTTTTTTTTTTTTTCAATAAGAAACAAACTCATTACAGATAGACAATGGGAAAGAACAAAACTCTGTTCCGACTTCCAACATGTCAACAATCAGTCTCACTAAAATCAGTTAAACTACATGCCAATTTCAATTGGCAACTTTTTGCTTCAAACAATCCAAATAAGACAATCAAACATATGTTAAAAAGAATATCAACTGAAAAAAACAATGCAAGGGGAAAAAAAAAAAAAAAAGGAGCTGAGACATCTAATTCTAAATCATTAATCTTGAAATCATTTTCTACTTCTCAAACAGAAGCTTCAATCCTTGGCTCAAACGAGAATGCAGACATGAACTCCACGGCTTTCCCATCTTCACAACATTTGGGCAATTCAGTCCACTCATTGGCCACCAAATCACACAAAACATAGCTGAAGAGCTCCGCAGAGTTTAAGCAGATTAAAATCTGGTCTCCAGCCCCAACACAGTTTATATCCACCTTCTTGCCATACCATTCATGCGACATCGCCGGTGGCATTGCCGCGATTTGGCGCCACGCCCTCGAATCCTCGTCGTACCACCACACGCGCAGGCTAGCGCTTTCGAAGAACTCCGACAGCAGCACAACTAGCACCCTCCCTCCACACTCCACCACATCGATGGAGTACTCGGAGAACACGGGCAGCAGCCTCGGGTACTCGGTAAAGCTCTTGCGGGTGAGATTGCAGGCCACAACCCTCCCTGTGGAGCTTAAAAAATACACAAGCTCCTCCCCATCTTTGCCGCTGGTTATCACTGATGAGTACTGCTTAAATGGGCTTCTCTGCATATTGGTAGCAACTACATTCCCGGCTTTACTGAGGAAGTACACGGCATTGTCGTCATTCGAATCGAATTCTAAACGATTATTGTCAACAACATTTCTGCTCAATGCCGTCTCTTCTTCCCAGCAATTAGTATTGGAATTGTAGACTCTGAATGAGAGGTTTGGAATCTCACCGAAAACTAAGGTCAGCTTATAATGAGAGCTACAATGGAGGCTTGAATAGGCTTTCATAACAATAGCATGAAGAGGGAGATTCTGTACGGACGGATCAAGAGAAGAAACTTCACTACATGATCCTGTGACGGGATTGCATACGATGAAGTTTCCGCGCAAATTGCGGAAACAGATCAGCCCGCCGGAGGCTGCGACGGGCATGGTGTTGTGATTGGGGGTTTCGTGGAGGAGAGTTGGGCGATTGAGCCTCTTCCAGTTCCTTTCAGCGGAGTCAAAGACCACCATTCTGCTGAGATTGGGATCGACCATGAAGAACCACGGATCCCGCGAGGGAACGGCGGCGCAGGCGAGCCTGAAGCTCGCGGAATCCGCGACAGATTTCCATCTCTTGCAGACTGAAGTCAGACGGAAAAATGTGGAGGTCGGTAGCCATGAAAGGACCCTTTCGAGAACGTCTTGGTTAAGGTCTTCCATTGGGAAGCCGCTGAAAATGGAGCTGTTGTCTATTTCTTGTGATTTTCTCTTCCGGTTTGCTACTGAAGCTGAGACATCATCTTTGAGCTCCATCAGATAAAAGATCCAAAAAACTGCAAAACAAACGGAAAATATTAAGACAACATTCTTTTTTTTTTTCTTTTTTAAAAAAAAGGCATCTAAAAATAGATGAGAATCACTTAGAATTTACCAACCCCAAAATGAAATTGGAATGCAACATTTGGTTTACAAATTTTTAGAAACAAAAACCAGGAGAAAACCCTTTTTTTTTTTTCAGGCAAATATCCATAAATTACAAAGATTAAAAAAAAAAAAAAAAAAAAAAAAAACTCTCCGGAGAAAGAGGATAAGAAAAGAGAAAATTGGGAATGAACCAACCACATTGAAGAGGAAAGATACCTTATGCTGCTGCGGCGAAAGAAAGAAAGGAAGAGAAGTGAGGAAGTGAGGAGTGTTGAAAGTGGATTTAGGGAAAATGGGTTTTTGAGAATGGGAAAGAGTAGGGACACAATGCTCACTCCAACTACACATATAAATGGACAAGATGACCCAACGAGGAACCAGGGTGGGAAGCTTCCTACTAAGCTCTTTTTGTTGTTGGCGTTGACACTTTTTTTTTTTCCCTCCTTTCCTTTTTGTTCCTTTTTTTTTTTTTTTGCTTTATAGAGACTACAGTACACGGCACACACGAGGGGGGTTTATTGTTTACTTAGTAAAGAGAAAAAAAAAAGAATGTATATATGTCTAACTGGACTGTGTATGTATATATATATATATCTATATATATGTTTCTTATTTTACACTCTTAACTCTTTGTTGTTGATAAAATTCAAAGTGAAAGTAGAGAGAGTAGTTGACTCTTGTCTCGCCTTCTGGCTATCTTCTTCACTACACCACTAGCCACTAGGCTTTGGATTCCAAAAAAAATCCGAAACGAAAAGAGAAAGAAAAAATGTTAAATGAAAGAAATCACTTTAGTCGTCTTTTTCTGACATGAAAGAAAGAGAAAGGGGAAAAAATTAGGTTTCAAAGAAAACCAGCCCCACGCTTGAGCATTGCCCTCTTAAACATGTCAAAGGGGGGTTTTGGTTTGGCTTTTGTTGCTGACCTTGCTTACTATTAATAAATAAGGAGGTCAGATTATAATTCGTAATTTTTTACAATATTTTTTTTATAAAAAATACATATAAATTAAAAATAATTCTGAATTATTATTTTAAATTCATTAACTAAATGTTCATAGTGATCTAATTTTAATTAAATTTAACGATTAAAAATTAACACTAAGTACTTATCGGTGAAGGTCCCAATAAATAAAAGCAAGAAGCAAAAGCAAAAACCTCTCCTGCTTATGTGCCTCGTTAAGGAATCTCATTCCTCTCTCTCTCTCTCTCTCTCTCAGAAAGTCAATGCCCAGAATCTTGGCTCCCTAAGCCAAGCATTTCACAGGGAACCAGAAACAATAAAATATAGAACAAAAAGCCGCTAATTACGTTTCATTCATATTTTAATTGTATGTTTTTCAAACAAAAGAAAAGAAGCAACTATATTGCGGTGGGATTAGATACTCTACGACACGAGGGCAGAGATCTCGATGCCATGCAAAAACTAATATCAAATTCTTCTGGCTCGGGTCTCCATGAATTTGATCTCCCTTCCTCTTTCCCACACTTCAACAGAGCTTTTGTCTTCCCGTGTAACCCAGAATTCCCGTGTTCCCACTTTCCAAGAGTAAAAGAAGAATTAAAAAGGAAAACCAAAACCAGAAGATGTGGATTTTTACATTATTGTCTAATTATTCCTCTCTCGGGTGAAAAGTTGCATGGAGAAACGCTGGGATTTTTATTGTTGTGGCCTTGTTGTCACTTATATTTGTTATCACTCATCACGTAGAATTATAACGTTATAATGTTAATTACCATAATTTAAGTTGCGATCAAACTAAAAGAAAAATTCAGCAACACGTCAATAGAGCATAGGAATTCCCAACTCATTATGATCCTTGAATTGCATTCTGTCATCTTAATAAATAAAGTTCTGGAGTCCCAAATAATAATTTTTTACAGTATTTTTTTTATAAAAAATACATATAAATTAAAAATAATTTTGAATTATTATTTTAAATTCATTAATTAAATGTTCATAGTGATCTAATTTTAATTAAATTTAACGATTAAAAATTGACACTAAGTACTTATCGGTGAAGGTCCCAATAAATAAAAGCAAGAAGCAAAAGCAAAAACCTCTCCTGCTTATGTGCCTCGTTAAGGAATCTCATTCCTCTCTCTCTCTCTCTCTCTCTCAGAAAGTCAATGCCCAGAATCTTGGCTCCCTAAGCCAAGCATTTCACAGGGAACCAGAAACAATAAAATATAGAACAAAAAGCCGCTAATTACGTTTCATTCATATTTTAATTGTATGTTTTTCAAACAAAAGAAAAGAAGCAACTATATTGCGGTGGGATTAGATACTCTACGACACGAGGGCAGAGATCTCGATGCCATGCAAAAACTAATATCAAATTCTTCTGGCTCGGGTCTCCATGAATTTGATCTCCCTTCCTCCTTCCCTAAAAACACTTCAACAGAGCTTTTGTCTTCCCGTGTAACCCAGAATTCCCGTGTTCCCACTTTCCAAGAGTAAAAGAAGAATTAAAAAGGAAAACCAAAACCAGAAGATGTGGATTTTTACATTATTGTCTAATTATTCCTCTCTCAGGTGAAAAGTTGCATGGAGAAACGCTGGGATTTTTATTGTTGTGGCCTTGTGGTCGCTTCTATTTGTTATCACTCATCACGTAGAATTAGAACAGAGGAAAAACAAGGACTTGCAAATTTATAACGTTATAATGTTAATTACCATAATTTAACTTGCGATCAAACTAAAAGAAAAATTCAGCAACACATCTATAGAGCATAGGAATTCCCAACTCATTATGATCCTTGAATTGCATTCTGTCATCTTAATAAATAAAGTTCTGGAGTCCCAAATAATAAATGCTAAAGTAGAGTCTGGGATTTCTACAAATAATGAAATCCCAGACAAAAATTCCCAACTCAACCTTTTTTTTTCTTCGATGATGATGGGAGTGTTAAAAAATTAAATATGAATAAATCACAAGTGAGACCCTAATTATTATGAACCATCCTCCATTATTTCTACACTCTTGACTCCATTTCCCTCCTGAAAATTAGTGCCACGCTTCAAGTAATGCAAATCCGAATCAGGTTTATGGTCATTTTCAACTTGCAAAGCGCTTTCATCTTCAAAAGCGTAGCCGTTGCTGTAAATCTTCACGTCCTCTGCGTTGAATGATCTAGATTCACAGCCTACGTTACGTGTATCCTCTGCAACTTCTTGTGTAGCTTCCCTATCAGAAACGGACAAATCCTTCTCGAAGCAAGGTGATATATTGTCCATGAAAACCTCACATGACGGGTGAGTAGTCACATCCATGTTAACTAGGTCTTCTTCTCTTAGAGTGGTGGCTTTTCCTGCAATAGGAAAAGGTCCCTCGGGACCATTTGAAATGGACGGAGATGATCTGCAACTATTGATATTTATACCCCCTTGTTCTTGTCCTGAAGCACCGGGGTTCATTTCGAAGCACAACTCTCTTTCACCATCTGAAGCCTCCTTTGCAACAGATGATATTGAGTCAATAACAGCCACGTCATCATCTTTGTCATGTTCTCTTACGGCTTCAGAGTTTATGCAAGTCGGTAACTCTTTCAGATCGGTCTCCAGGCACAGGCTACCATCAGTTGACACAGATTCACCACTGAGAGAACATTCAATTTGTTCATTTGGGCTAAGCTCCACTTCACCATTCGCCATCTTCTGCTCATCCTTTGAAGGTTCCTGAGCTCGAAGACATGAAGACCGTGCCTTATCCCTAAACAAAGAAATATATCATTTCAAGTTTTCCAATTTCCATGACATATGTTCGGCTGTGAAAAAGTATAAATAAAAATAAAGGTACATGGGCATGCATCAACTCGAGCTCACAACAGTATAAATAAGCACAAACACCTACCAGAAATATACCTAGAAGCTACTAAACAAGACTTGAACAAATTTAAAAAACACCTAAAATGCATTCGAAGGACGACACAACATATGACGTTGGACACACCTGCTGTATAAAAGCATATATGCTCCTTGAGAAAGTACCTCCTCCAATTCAACTTTCGTAACCTGAGAAAAGTTGAATTGTTACAACCCAAACATAACAAAAACAGATACCCCCGAAAAGAAAATTAGAGAAGTAGCGAAAAGAAAATAAGAGAAGTAACTTTTATAATCAGGAATTCTGATGTATTGATCTCTATTTTAAGAGTTGCAAAACATAGGGCCTTTACCAGCTAAGAAAGACAGTCACTAGAAAGAGAGCCTACCTTACAATCATCCAGTTTATACCAGTTTCCGCATAGACCCTTGGTATAGCAGATATAATGACCAAAAAATGATGCATTCAGCATATCCACATGGACAACGACTGCATAAAGCGTATAAACATCCGTACCATCTCCATCATCACTCATATAAGGGCTAAGATCTAAAGTCTCAGGGAAAGTTACTCTTTTATTGAGTTTCCCAAACCTCCCACTCTGCAAGTATTGGCCATTTACTAATGTAAGATATGGACAAAGGAAACCATAGTAACCACAGGAAAAAAAAAAAAAAAACAGAGAGAGAGAGAGAGAGAGAGAGAAATCATACACCCTCCCACTCTGCAAGTATTGGCCATTTACTAATGTAAGATATGGACAAAGGAAACCATAGTAACCACAGGAAAAAAAAAAAAAAACAGAGAGAGAGAGAGAGAGAGAGAGAAATCATACATCATCGGAAAAAAGAATCTAAATCTACATGAATTATCACGTCAACACTTTCTAATACAAATACATGTATTGAGTTGTTTTCTTTTATTAAATTAACAATCTATAGCAATTCAAAAATTAAAACCGGATATGAGAGTTCTAAGTATGTGAAGTTCTAGTGACAGTTTCCTATCTGATAGAAAATAACTACCATAGGCCCGAAATAATTATTTTACCTGATGACATATATATAGCCTAGTTCATCTATAAGGAGCTGAATAAGTTTGAGGGCGTTGATTTCTTCCCCATAGCACCATTGTCAATGATAAGCACCAAAATATCTCGACTATTGAAAGTTGGAAACCCATGTTTTAACCCAGCTCATTAGCTATACATCTCTTTGGTGTAAATAAATGCCTTTGTCTTTAATGCAGGAGCTAAAATTAATTTAAAGTTGTTGAAAAGTGTGAACCTTTTTTGGAATTGGTCTAATGTCATTTAAAAAAGAGAAAGGAAAGAAATTCATAGACAGAGAGAGTAGCACGAACCTGAAATCTTTTCAATGCAACTGTTAATATATTTGGAGCCCGTTTAACAGTAAGACGCTTCCAAGCCTTGACATAGTCATTGCACCTGAGAAAAATAGTCATGTGTAAAATGAACAAGATATTGAGCAAATAATAGCATTAGGAGATTATGCACTTATGAAACCACACAATGATATACAATTTCATCAATCACAACCATACCCGTCGCACTTGTACATGTTGTCTCCATGGAGCCACTCCTTGACTGTAAATTGATCAAGGCATTCCTCCAGTGATGCAGCCTCCCCATGAATTTCAACAGTCAGATCCATCATATTTTCATACTGATTTGATATGTTGTTGCATTCTGTACATATCACCTGGAAGATATTAAAAATAAATAATGTAAATTTATAAGAAAAATTTAGAGGGGACAAACCAAGGCAAATTAACAGGCTCCCGAAAGAAAATATCATTAGACAAGTTTCATCAGACACAAAAAAAAAAAAAAAAAAAAAAAAAAGGGTGAAAAAAAAAAAAAAAAAAAAAAAAAAAAAAAAAAGGGTGAAATAAGAACGCGAAACACAAGGAACTTCCAGATATCTTAAAATTCTAACTCCAAAATTGTTCCAGGACTTCTCCATTTTCTTTTTTCATCTTTTTCTAACCATGTTGACAGCAATAAAACAAGAGAACATGCATTACAAAAGCGAACACTTTGCTGCAAGACAAGTAGACAACCTGCGATTGAAGGTGACCACCAAATATATGTTGAATAATGGTGGTCTCTTGTAAGCTAGGAGGGACAGCCTTTTCACCACCAAATTCGTCAAGGCAGACTGATTGCATTGTATCAATGGCAAACCTACAGGGACAAAGAAGAGAGTAAGTTTTTGCAAAATTGAACAAGCAGTATATATCTATATCCTTTTAAAATTACAGTTGATAAGAATAATACAGAGGAAATATTAGAAACCTCATAAACTCATGAGCATCCTCCTGTCTTCCATAACCAAGATTACCACCAATATTAGGCAACCTAGAGATAATATTAGTTGGAGAAAAGGGCTGTGAACTTTGATTAGCTCTTTCAAGATGTGTCTGGAATTCACAAAGGAAACACCAATCACTACGAATGCCTGAAAAAAAAAACAGAAATGAACATCAAGAAGGGTAAGAACTTTGATTAAAGAGGCACAGCAAGTAAAAGAGAGTATATGTTTTAGTCTATGACTATACATTCTGTTCGATGACCTTTCTCCAACAAGTAGGCAACAAGTGGACGAGTGGATGCAAGACATTGTAGAACCACATTGGCAAAGCAACTGCATACACCAACGAAAAAAAATAAAAGCAGAATTTAGAGGAGGAAAACTATATGTACTACGCGCTATCAAAATTGGGAGGGAAAAACAAGAAATTTACAAGCAAAAGTGCAAATGTAATCTTATAACAAGGCGAAATATGGTAAACAAATACCTGTTTCCACAATTTAAAAGTCCACAAGGAGGGAATCCTGGCTTGTCCCAGTTGAAAAGTTTCACAAATTCATCGTATGGAAAGAGAATCTGAACAATACAAATGCTTTAAATGTCTTATTCTCTGCTAAGAATCATCAGGTATATACACTTTTATAGTTCTATTTAATCAAATTTTAAACCGAACATACATCTTTAGGCTGCTTGATGTTGATGGGTTTAAATATTCCAGGAGCTGGAACCAGTGCAACTCCAGAAAATGTTTTACCCCCGCAGCCAGAGGCCTTGAATTGCGAATTTCTCAATGCATTTTGCCCTGCGATAACACTACCAGATGATTGGACAACCAACTTGCAATCATTCTGGTGCCCAGATTTCCAGTGCTTTTGTTGGCACTTCTGCGAGCTGAAAGAAGGAACAGAATTCAAGTTTCACATAAATAAAGTTCAAACCTGACTAATGCTGGAAAATATGCATGACAATACAGTACAGACTAGAAAGCTGAAGTCTAAAAATTGTACATGAGACAGAGTTACAAGGGCAAGACCATAAACGAGGCACTGAACTCACCATATCCCAAAATCAAAAAGTCGGAATTAAACTTACTGAAGATGGAAAAAAAAAATCCCATTACGTACATACTAAGATACATTATGTTTTCTGTATAAAAAGCCAAAGAAACCCAAGAAATCCCTACTAAACTGTAAATAAAAATAATAACAGCATGGGCAATGCCTAAATCAGGCAACTTTGACAACGTAAAATCTGGAAGAAACCAAAAGATTACGAATAAGCCATTGGAAAGTTACGGAAACGCACCAAAATTACCATAACAGCGGAAAAGGGGATTAGAATTCCAAATAAAGATACCCCATTTCGCTATAAAGTACCAGAATTTCAGAAAGCAACCGAATTTAACGTAAAACAAAAACAAAACTTGATTGAAATGTTCCAAAAAAAAAAAAGCAATTACCAGTAACGGACGGCTTTGCAACGAGAGCACTGCTTAGGGCCGGAATTGCCGCAAACGACGCAAGCGCAATCGTCGACGAGCACGCCCGGCATTGGGGTTCGATCAGAATGGGCTCCACCTCCTCCTCCTTCGAAATTGGCGTCGACTTCGAAGTACTTCGACGCCGTGTTCTTGACCAAGTGAAGCACTCCGACGGCGATTATGAAGACGGTGAGTATGAATTGAAGGAACCAATTCAGATCCAAGGTTACTCCGGCGACATGCATCTACACCTCCCCCGAGTTGATCACCGATTCCTCAACGATCCAAGGGCTTTTCATCGATAATCACGACCGATGAATTCGTACTGTCCGTAGCCAAACAAACAATTGCAGAAATTAGGGTTTTTGCGGGTCCAATTATTGGGGAAAAAAAGGCAAATACTGAGAAGAAGAAAACAACAATTTGGGGTTTTAATCAATAATTTTGGAAAAGAGAATAGGACAAAAGAAGAAACTTGTTTTAGGGTTATTTAAACAAGCAAAGCAAAGAAATTTGATGTGGGACTGACTGAAATCCCTCTTTATTTCTCTCCACTTTTCCTCCTAATCCTGGGAATTGGATTTGTTTAAACGAATTATAGATTTTGGCGTGAGAGGATTATCTTTTCTTAGGGAGACAATGATATAGTTCTTGCCAAAAATAAATACATGAATAAATAAATCCTTAATATTTGACTTAGTTATTTTTGTTTTATTTTAATTTGTTTGAAGGAATTACACATCATTTTTTTTTTTTTTTTGGGAAACATTCTCTTTTTGTTTAGTTAGGTTTTTTTTTTTTTTAAAATTAGTTCATCATTAATACTGTCTGCCAATCAAGCCTTAATTATAATTATCTACAATGTTTCCCTTTCAATCACTTTTTACAAGGAAGGGTGGGGGTTTCTTAGTAAGAAAGAAATTGATGTTTTCCTTTCTTTCTTTTTTTTTTTCCCTGCTCTTTTTGCTACTCTCACGTGAGGTGTTCGATGTGGGAATCACTTCCAATGAGAGGATCCGGGACATGCGAATAAATTCGGGTGTCTTGGGAGTTGTTTTTTTACATTTTTGAGTTAAGATGATTTTAGTGATAATTTTGAGTTGAGTTTTAATTATAATTTGAGTTGAAATTATAACTTGAATTTGTGTTTGAATGTGCACATTTAAATTATGATTTGAATTAAGAATCTTTTTGAGTTTGTGTTTGGGTGAGTCAAAACTTAAATTTGTATTTATATAGTATTTTAATAAAAACTCAATAATGATGAAAAATTTTAATAGGGTATATGGGTGAGGTTTTATTTATCTTTTCGTTGTGAATGCATAGAAAAAAATCAACTCAATCAGAATTAAAACGAAAAAGTTATTGCATTTTTAAGAATAGAAAAAATATTGTTCATTAACTTGAATTCGAGTTTATGAACTCGAGTTGAAGGGAAAACTTGAACTCGAGTTTAGCCCTAAACTCAAGTTCAAACTCGAATTCAAACTCAAGTTTAAACTCAAATTTTACAAAAGAATATAAATTTAAATAAAATTGTAACTCGAAGTCAAACTTTTTCTAAGTTTGTTACAAAAGAACAACTCCTTGACAAAGTGCTCCTATTCCATTTTGAGATGTTTTTTCTTTTAATTTTTACCTTTTTGGAAAGAATTTAACATTTTAAATTTTAGGGTTATTAACACCTTACTTCTTGAACTCTTTTAATTTAGTACTTTCAATTCTGCTTTATTTTTTAGTAAGTATAAACCTTAAACTCTCTTAATTTGACACTTTCAACCTTAAACTTTATTTTTTTTTTATAATTTAACAGTGACCATAGGAGGTCGCGATCGGGGCTGGGCAGAAGCCAGCTGAGGAGAGGTCGACCAGCAACCCACTCATTAATCAAGTAAAAAAAAAAAAAAAACCCCACTAATCAATCAAAATCTCTATATGAACAAGATATTTATCTATTGCACTCTTTATGACTCGCGGACATTTTCCCATCACATTCTCTTTTCCATCACCAATCAAGTTATTGAAATTTGTCACTTCACTTGCAACTTTCTTTTTACTAGTGAACAGTTTCAAAAACTAGCAGCTCAAATAAAACGGTGGTTTGTGCAAAATCACTTATCGTTACTGCAATGTAAGCAAATAAAGAAAGATGTAATTAGTATTTAGTTTATATTAACTAAACTATGAGTAACTATCGCACGCGAAGGGACTGGAATGGGTGCATCAGAGAAATCACAGGGCAACACTAGCTCGATGCAGATGTAAGCTTAAGCAGGTCCTCTCCTTAGCCCATCGTCAGCCGGCCTCTGCCCAGTCCCGTGGTTGCCGTTAAATTACCAAAAAATAAAGTTCAGGGTTAAAAGTGTCAAATTAAGAAAGTTCAAGGTTTAAATTACTAAAAAAATAAAGTTTAGGATTAAAAGTGCCAAATTAAGAGAGTTTAGGGGTCAGGTGCCAATGACTCTAAATTTTAATTAATTTTTATTTATTTCTCCCTCATATTTACCTTGCGAAAAAACTTGGGTTCATACTTGAATGTTTTCAAGAAAATTTAAAGAGATATGATAAGAATTATGCATGTTATGATTTCTCTCCTACACTTCAAGGGGCCACTTATAAATTGCCATAATTGCTTTATTGTTAAAAGATAATAAACTAATTTACCAAAAAAAAAAAATACTCAACTAGATTATCTCTAGTAATTTGCAAGATGTCGTTGGAATCAAAACTGGCAATCAATCATTGATGCCGATAACTAGAAAGTAATATACCGGCTATCAGATATCATGATAGTCAACAAATAATTATTGGTCATCGTCACTAATAACTAAATGGTAGAGCTACAAGTTTGGGCCAGACCCACTTAAGTGTTTGGGTTGGTTTGGATTGGTTTGGGTTGAGGTTTTGAAGTCTTGCCCCGAACACCATTTATATAATATTTTTTAAAATATCTTAAATATTCGGGTTGGACTGACTCTCTATTAACTTAAGCCGGTTTAGCCTGATTTTATATTTTGCGTTGTCGAACAACCCGAACTTGCATATCGTGATAATCAACATTACTAGATTAACATGGGTAATTATTCATATTGTGGTGCTTTTTCATTACAAATCATGATTCATCTTAGTACCAATCATCGGAGTAATCTAACCAATTATATTAATAGTTTACTAGATTGATTCTTAAAATCACCATATTGTCAAATGGATGAACAAATAAAAGATTATAATCAACACAATATCGAAAAGTACACTAAAAAATCTTAGATCCAAATTTTAAATTTTATTTGCACATTACAGTTTATTTTTCTCCATTTTTTAGGGCCGGCAATATGGGTCACCACGACTCGAAAACGACGCGAATTTCACGGGTTAGGGTTGAGAAAAAAGAGGTTTGGGTCAGAATTGAGTCAACCTGAAATTGACACGAAAAACACTAGTCAATTTCAAGTTGGACCCGCCTAACCCGAACACGACACGAAACTCGTAAAAAACTAAAAAATACATATATTTTTCATTACATATTTTTTATTTTATTAAGAACTTGTGATATCATGATAGTTATACTCAAAATTTTATACTATTATTTGCTTAATTTCAATAGATGTTATTGTATTTTAGTGTGTTATGAATTTTAAGTTATTTCTAATATGTAAAAAACTAAATAAAAGTATACAATTTTCGGGTTCACGGGTCAATTTCATGTCACGGGTCATTTTCATGTCGTATCATGTCAACCCGTAAAGTTGTCGTGTCGTGTTCCTGTTACAGTTTTTAAAAAATTTCGTGTCACGGGTTGTGTTCGGGTTGACTACAAATTTAAAAAAAAAACAATCAAAATACGACATGAACATGACACGTGACACGAATTGTCACTCATACCATTTTTCGCATCAACCAAACAACAAAATCAAGAAATAGATAAGTACAAAAAAAGATAAAATTATTTTATAATATTCTTCTAATGGGAAGGACTTTGGAATATGCAACATAGGCTAGAAAATGGAAACGACATTAATGGCGCATTTGCCATAGGGTTGAGACTCGAGAGACGCAAATGTCGTAGGCCAGATCATCAGATTGGGTTTTATTTTTCTCGCCGCTTCTTCTCTCTTCCATTTCCTAATCACATCGAGAAAAATCCCTAACTTACGTATCTCAATCAAATCAAATATTAATGCATTACTTTCAAACTATAGGAATACACAGTCTCTCATATTAATTTGCAGTAAGCTACTAAAAAACAAGAAAGAAAACTAGTCGTGATATTAATAGAAAGTAAAATAGTAATAATAAGTAACTATTTAAATTTTAAAAACTCTCATTTCGTTTAAATTTTGAATTTATCTTATTTAAATTATTTTGTAAGAAACTCTGTTGAAATTAGATAGAAAAAGAGGGTGTTAAATATGACTATGTAGTTTTTATCTATTTATTTTGAATAGAAATTCAAACGAAAAATCAATGTGATTGCATTAGTTTCTTTTTTTATATGTTTTTAACAAAAATTACATTGTAAAAAATTAAGTGAAATCAATTCAAAATTCAAGAGATAAAATAAAAATTTTTAAAATTTGAGAACAAATTAAAAATAATATTAAAGTTTAGGCACCAATAATCATAATAATAATGACAACTTAAGGCGGGTCATGGAATGATTTCCCTCCCCATCATTCTTTAAAATAGGAGTGGTTGGTAAGAGTGGTTGGGTCAAGTATTATGTGTTCGAGGAGCTTAATTTTCTCCTTTCTTGTTTTTCATTTAATATAATTATACGTGTTAAAATCACGGCGAATTCATATAAAAATAAAGTAGAAACTCACCATAAATTAAGGTTCAACAAAACAAACTAAGTTTCCGTTCATTTAACCGATTTGAGTTTTGTTACAGTAAAAAGCTCTCATAAATAGTCACATTTAACTCTTTTACTACAGTAAAAAAACTCTCACATAAAATCACATCTTAACTTGAATTAAAAACTCGAATCAACAAACTAAACGGACCTTAAATTCTAAATATAGACCAACCCAAAACTTAATTAGAACAACATGAAATATCTCATCAAAAGCAATAAATAACACTTAAGCCAACAAAAAAGTTCAAAAATATCAAAACATAAGTGCATATAGGAAATTAAGGAATAGTATTAGCCGACTTAGGTTAGTAATTATTACTAATTAGTATTTGCTCATTTTCGAGTAAATAGAACTAGGGTTAATTCCACAAATGGTCTTAAAGTTTACATTTTGAATCCCACTTTAAATTTTGACTTTTTAAACGTTGCATAGATAGTCTCTAAGGTTTTATTTTGTTTCAGTTTCGGTTCTTTCATCAATTAGGCGTTAAAATTTAATGAAATCTGTGTAAATGAGAGGTTAAAATTAAAAATAACTAAAATTTTGGGTCTATCTGTGGAAATTAACTTTTAATTTTTTATATTATTTGTCTCTAAACTTTATATGTTTTCAATTTTAGTTCATAATTTTTACACATTATGTCAAATATTTAACACCAAGCTAATAGAATGACTAAAATTGAAATAAAATAAAACCTCATGAACTAATTGTATGACGTTTGAAAAATCATGAACTAAAGTGAGATTGAGGCTAAACTTCATAGATCA